CTGGGTCGTATTTTAGGACACTAGCTACGAGCTTTCACATATTTTACGGTTTTAATTGACACCATGCCAGGTCCAACAAAAATAAAGTTGGTAGCCCTCAATATATATATATATATATATATATATATATATATATATATATATATATATATATATATATATATATATATATATATATACAGGGTGTTTTTTCTTAAGCTTAACAGAATTTTTTTTCAAAAACCATGAAAGCTAGATTAATGCGGTCTGCGCAGGTGAGTTACACGGCCAGGGGGACATAGTATAAGAGACTAATCGTAACAATCAGTCCGCTAATTAGTTAAAATTTGTTAATGAACTTTTTAATTAAATAAAATAGACATATACTTCCAAAGAGAAATTTGCTGAGCATCATCGAAAGCCCCTAAATCAATCATTTTCAGATAGACTTTGAGCGCGTGAGAAGCGTAGTAGTGCACTAAAGTTAGCACTCGTGGAGCACGTACAAAGCTAGCGTTTGCGATAAGGCGCCCGCGCAATTTTTCCTTCTACTATCTAGCCCCAGCCTTGTACCTGCTCCACGAGCGGTAACTTTAGTGCACTACTACGCTTCTCACGTCTTCAAAGTCTTTCTGAAAATTACTGATTTAGCGGTTTTCGATGACGCTGAGCAAGTTTATAATTGGAACTATATGTCTATTCTCATTAATTAAAAAGTTAATTAACAAATTTTAACTAATTAGCCGACTGATCTTTACGATTAGCCCCCTATACTATGTCCCCCTGGCCGTATAACTCACCTGCGCAGACCGCATTAACATAGTTTTCATGTTTTCTTTCTAAAAATTCTGTTAAGCTTAAAAAAAAAAAAAAACACCCGGTATATCAGGTGTGTGGTTTCGGCTAGTATTTCATACTGCGGGGCTGTCCCAGCTTCCGTGAGTGTCAAGATTGCCGGGTTAAACAGGGTATTTTAAACCACCGGTTCTGAAACAATTAAACTGGCATCATAGACATGGACATTTACCCCCTTTTCCCGTATCTCAACACTCCCCCCCCCCCCCCCCCCCCCCCCCCCAATCATAGAAACCAAACGCTACCAAAAGAATTCCGGAGAACCTACACCGCATTTTAGATCGCCGCCCCTGGGTAAACTTTCTTTCCCCATCTCATCTGGACAACGCTTAAGCATGAAATGGCTTGCTCACCTTTGTATCTTGTGTGAGCAGAACCGTTAATGAAGTGTGTGAGCCTCGTGATTGTCTATTGCGAGAATTCCAAAAGGTGTGGAGGCTCGACTCCGACCTAACGTTGCTGCGGTGGCGCTGTTGCATGCATGGCGCATGGGCGAACGCTCCACCCTTGGCCGAATTGAGTTTCCGCGCACAGGCGGTACCCACACAAGGTGCGGGAAAGAGATCGAGGTACACCGAAGGCATTCTTTATGAGTTGTGAATCCGAAAGCATGCAAGCCGCTCGTCCGCTCCCTTTGTCGTCTGCTGCGTACTTTTCGTCGCCGGTCGGCGCGTGTACTCCCCTGGTGACCTTGGACGCTCCGCGCTGATTAGAGTTCCTGTATAGGCTCCCTACGGGAGCCAGAGTTGCGCATCTGTTTTCCCCCGCGCCGCCACGCCGCTATTCGCCGAGATCCATCACGTGAGCAGCAAAGCATCCGGTGGCGTGCAAGAAAGCCACCTTTACGGTCGCTCCGCCGACGTTTCTCTTGCCCCGGCGTATGTTTCCCTGCTTTCCGCCTCCTTTTCCTCCTCTCCTGTTTTCCATGCGTGGCGGCGCGCGCGGCGCCGCTATTCGCCAAATTTAGTCACGTGAGGAGCAAAGCATCCATCTCGTGCGGGAAAGCCGGCTCTACGGCCGCGCGCCGAGGCTGAATGCGCAACTCTGCTACCGTAGGTAGCATATACAGGAACTCTAGCGCTGATGAACACGCAGCGCCATGGGGTGAGCGGTCGTGGAAACTGAAGAGCGCAGCGGCCAATGGGAGCCCCGTCGACTCGCGCCAGCCAGTGGAACCGAAGGAAACTATCTGCCGTTTTCGCGCTTCAGACTGATGACGTCAGCTCGATCCATGAGACAGTTAATGCTTTCGCATTAGAAAACCGGCTTGTTTGTAAACTGCGCGCTGGCGTCTACAGTCCCTTGAGACCGAAAGTACGGTGCACAAAACGCGTTTTCGACAGGCGTGTTTAGCATCGCCCATTCATCAAAACTGGTTCCGACGTGGCAAACATACGACGTCACAGGAACCTTACGGAAAGGTTTAAGAGTCCCTGTCCTCCACGCGTGTATCATTGTCTGGCCGAAGCTTTGCAGGAGACGGCCTACTACGACGAAGAGGGGAAGGTATACTTCGTGGAACGTTTGAAGTAGATGATCCGATGCATGGACAACCAGGTTGTTCCTGGCGAAATCGGGGACCTGCTCATGAAGCACCACGACGGCATCCGGGAGTTGGCCGTCGTGGGGCTAAAGCACCAGGAGTACGGCGAAACGGCTGCCGCCTTCGTGGTCCTCAAGAACTCCCACAACGAGCGGAAGAGAGAGGTCGAAGAGGAACTTAAGAGAATTATTGCGGGTTAGCAGTGTACTTCAGAGTCACTGACAGCTGAAGGAGCATTTCATTACCGATCAGCATTCAGTGCCATGGCAGCATTAGCCGATAGAAATGCCTAAGAACAAGCAAAGGAAAAGGAAGCGTATCATGGTATACCATGCCCTGGGTTTCTTAAGTTGTTTGTGACTGTAACTGTAGAACGTTAAGGAACTTAGGGTGCATAGTTTCAAGCTTGGAATAAAAATAAAGTTATTGTTTACGCTTGCATACTGCGCGGAAAGGCGCTATATACTATATCATCAATGTGGACTTTTGTTTTTTCCTTTTTTTGTGTGTGTGTTTGCAGAAGAGGAATTTGACCGCAGTTCTCGATGACTTCTATGATGTTGTGGCATCGGCGGGATTTATTTCTTGTGGGACAATTTAGGACATCGGGATTTAGGCCAACAAAACACACAAAAAAAAACTAGACAAGTCAAGCTTAGATTATCGTCAGTCTGTTCGCCGGTTTTCTCGTGGGCGCCGCCATTTTGGGGGCTTGGTGCAGAGCGGGCGCAATAGACTATTTTGAAAGTCTATCAAGCAACACTGGCCGTCGCCATTGTTTGGACACGAAACGCGTGATTGGACCCGAGTCCTCGCCGAACGCTGACGTCACACTCGTGTCCAATGCAAGCTCAGAGTATGTGATCAAGCAATAACGGATAGGCGTTGGCGCGGACTTCTAAAAAGGGCCTATATTGGCGATCGTTGCGATTAATAAAAATGCGACGTTCTCAGCTTTAGATAAGGTGCCAGGAACCTCAGTCGATAACAGACAGCTTTAGGGAACCGTTCTGCCGGCCCTCCGGTACGAACTGCGCATGTGCGAGTCTTCTGTGGTATGGCGCATGCGCAGTTCGTACCGGAGGGCCCATCGTATACCGTATCGGATGGGCAAAAACGGTTCCCTAAAACTCTGTACTGCTTCGCTCTGCTGCGAACTGCTTTAAGATTTTTGGACGACGGACAAGCGTTTACTGCGATATCAGATAAAGCTTCAGACCACAGCTGGCCAACGATGATTTTAAACCCCAAGATTGCTAAAGTGACGTTTATCTGATGCGCAGCTTACGTAGGCGCTCTACACGGAACAACTTGCACTGCCAAAATATTAAAATATCGAAACGGGGAAAGGGGCACTTAGTTGTAAGCGTTACACGGCCAACTTCATAAGGGGATCTCGTTTAATCTTTGTATATAGGCCAGACTTGCCTCCCTGTACCAACAGGTGCGTTGGATATATAGAACATACAATACAATACAATACAAATTTTTTTTTCAAATTGAATTTTGCTCAACACCTACATAAGCCGTTGAGGCTTGTGCGTGGGACGCGACAGGCCAAAACAGATTCATTCAATTGTGTAACACATTCTGTTTGAATATATTACGCCCTAGACACTGTAACTCATACTATGAGTTAAAACGAATATACATAGAAAGTTTGATTAGGCACAGTCCATAAATATATAAAAATAACACAATAACAGGTGGAAATAACCCAATTTAGCAGTACAATTCTACAGCTTTCCATCAGTCTATTTCTAGAAAAAAAAGAAAAAACTCAGGTTGCAACATATGTGTAGTCTGGGTCGAAGGAGAGGAGGTCATTTTTAATCAATCCCATATGAATCGTTTTTTTTTTCCACTGCGCAGTGATCCATTGTCGTGTTACTTTTTAATAATAGCACAGGGATTTTTACATCCAATCAGATCATCGGGTAATTTGTTAAACATTTTAGGTTCATAACACAGTCTTGTAGCCTCACCATATTTCGTGCTTATTAATGGTACATAATATTTCCTGTTAGGACGTAGCGTTCTTTCCTTAATAATTTCTTTTTTATATCAGCTTTTGAGAACATTTCTTGTTATTATATCATATTTCAACTGATCACTAAAGCATAGTACTCCCAATTCTTTAAACATATACTCTGTATAATTGCTTCCTCCAGTTCGGTAACAAATCTTTCTGGGTATCTTTTTTTGAAGAATTTCTATTTTTAATAGTAGATATTGAGCACAGTGTCCATAAACCGTTATTCCATGTTGTATTATGGGTTTTCCTAGTGAATTATAAATCATACGAAGTACAGAATGCGGAACTATATCTTGGATGTGCAAAAACCGCGGATTCGCCATCCCACGAGATCATGCATGGTACGACGCTGATTGTAATGCGTTCGTTCAAATGTCTTCTTTTCTTCGGTTTTGGCAGGTTCTTGCGCAGTGCACAAGCATCTCTATGGTTGAGTCCACTTCGTCGACTCGCTCCCCAAGACCGAGACGGGGAAAGTGCAGAAGAAGGCTCTGCTTCCGCAGCATCGAAATGGCTGATGGCAGTGTTCCGCTGGATCGCTGCGGCTGCGCTAACAATGAGCCTTTATAGCTTTCTTGAGAAACTCTTTGATTGCTTGTTGTTTCCGGTGCTTTTCTTTCGAATAAACAAATGATGCAAATGTTTGTACTTCACGAAAATCGCATAAAGTTAAGTATTTTTAGAGTGCTCTCCGAGTTCACCTACGCCAAAATATCAAGACCGAAAAGAACCCCTAAAGGAGCACTGAACTTTCAGAAAACGTTTTTGATAAGTGACTTTGTGAAACATGTATGTCGCGAAATATGTTTTATTTACTTATTTTGGTTACTTACAAAGTAACTACAGCTTATCGAGGGTATTATAATAGGGGCGAACAGTAAATAACTCACAACGGTCACATATCCTCACGATTGGTTATACGAACGAGAGAAAAAAAGTGAAAGACGTTTTCAACTTCCCGTAACGCCGATTTAGAGCGCAGCTCTTGAGGAGGAGGAGGGGAGGGTACTGAGGGGAAGGTATGCCCTCCTCTTCATCCGTACCTTCTCCTCCTCCCCTCGTCCTTCTTTCACGCGCTTCGTCACGCGACGTTTCGGCGCGGTGCATTATGGGACGTTTCCCATAATGCACCGTGCGGTTACGCCAACGCCGACGCCACTCAAGCCGGAAACGGGCGCCTCAGAGCTGCGCTCTAAAAATACGCTTTTGTCCAAGATGCCTATCGATTCCTGTATTGTGTGTCATTTTTTTTTCGATCACATTTTTCACCCGTTTTATATTAGTTGGACTAGCCAATGACTACAAAATAATTTTTTTTTTATTTTTTATGAGAGGTACGTTTTTTTAGCCAAGTGAAGTTTTTTTTTAAAAAAACACGTTTGCGTGTATGTATGCGTGTGTGTGTGTGTGTGAGCAACGTTACGCCAAAGATTTCATCTTTTTACGTATGAAATTAGAAGCACACTAGTTTGGTCCAAAAGCGAAAGTAAAGTGGCAACTCTTAGCATTAATTTGGCTCGTCGAACGCTCATTACAATTAGATAAAACAAAAATGCGCGCTTTCTTTTTTGTGTGTGTGTCTTTAGCGAAAGATGTCATTTAATATTATTACAGACCGGAAAGGTCCAGATCTACAGAAACTATATCAGCAATAATAGTATGCTTTCAACATCTGTACCGGAAACGGTCCGACAGAACAACCCCCGAGGCTCCAACTTCCAAACCCCCTCTACTTGAGTTCTATCTCAAGTGAGCAGAAACCTCGAATGTTCCTTTCACTTCAGAGCGCTGTTCGCGCTAAATAGAAGCTCCCTAATCTTGTTCTTCAGCAAAAAA